ATCAGTAGTTGGAAAATATGGTCTTGGTGATTGAAATGATGCTGGAGAACACATGATAGAATTCTGCAAAATTAATGATTTGTTCATTTCAAATATCTTCTTTACACAGCATAAGAGATGACTATACACATGTCCCTCACCAGATGGAATACATAGAAATCAAATTGACTACATCTGCAGAAAGAGATGATGGAAAAGCTCCATATCATCAGTCAAAACAAAACCAAGGACAGACTGTGGACAGATCATCAATTACTCATATGCAAATTCAAACTGAAGCTGAAGAAAATGAAAACAAGTCCACGAGAGCCAAAATATGACTTTGAACATATCCCACCTGAATGTAGAGATTGTCTGAAGAACAGTTTGATATATTAAACAATAAAGACCGAAAACCAGAAGAGTTGTCAGATGACATCAAGAACATCATACATGAAGAAAGCAAAAAGTCATTGAGAAGACAAGAAAGAAGAAAAGGTCAAAAGGAATGTCAGAAGAGATACTGAAACTTGCTCTCCAGCACAGAGATGCTAAAGCAAATGGGAGAAATAAGAAGGTCCAAGAGCGGAACAGAAAATTGCAAAGATCAGCTCAAGAAGATAAAGCCAAATATTACAACAAACTGTACAAAGATCTGGAAACAGAAAACCAAAAAGGAAGAACATGCTCAGCATATTTCAAGCTGGGGGAACTGAAGAAAAAATTCAAGCCTCGACTTTTGTTATTGAAAGATTCACTGGGCAAATTATTGAATGATGCAGAAAGCATCAAAAGACGATGGTAGGAATACACAGAGTCACTGTACCAAAAGGAAATGATTAATGTTCAACTGTTTCAAGAGGTAACATATGATCAAGAGCCAATGATCCTGATGGAAGAAGTCCAAGGTGCATTGAAGGAATTGGCAAAGAAGAAGGCATCAGGAATTGATGGAATAAAATTGAAATCTTTCAAGAAAGTGAGGCAGCACAGGAGGCACTCACTCATCTATGCCAAGAAATTTGGAAGACAACTATCTGGCCAACTG